GACAACCATTACAGGTCGTGATGGTCTTGAATTTGCGCCCGACGACCATGCAAGGCCAGTTTACGTGAGTACACGAAAGGTCCAGTTTTTGGGTGTTTGCTCACTGTTTTATTTTGTTTACGTGCCTAAACAGGTGGTGTAAGGAATTGTCATTCCTTACTATACTAGCACTTTAGCGAGTACATGTCCGGCCTATTTCGTCGCACCGAACCACTTCCGAGTCGCCTCCGCACCAATCGCAACCATCACCGAGCCATCTTCGCCCCACCTCATCGCCTAGCTAGCTTTTCCCCTATTTAGGCCTCGTCGTTTTCAATGTATAATTCATTCAGTAATCGACATTCTTGTTATTCGTTTATCTGCGCACTCTGCAAGTTCATTCATAACAGGTGGGAACAAATCCCGTGGGAAAATTTTGTTGACGGGTAATGCCATAAACACTAAGGCGTACAAAAGAATTGGTGTGTTCGCAAAACCCTGAACCCGAAACCCTGAGCGTTCGCTTTTGCTTTTACCCAACCGTTTTAAAATGCAAGCGAGCCGCACTGCCACGAAGAAAACTCACACGTCGCGGTTGCCCACTAGGCTGAGCTGCGGGTGGGGGAGAACAAGCGAGGAGCTGGACCACCGCCCGTTCAAAACTCGGGCCCCGCACCCGACCCCACCCCACCCACCTGGGGATCCCTCACACCCTCGAGAATTTTCTTTCACCATCTCCGCACCAGGCCCGCTCCTCCTCGGTCAGTCCCCATTCCCCGTCCTCCCCACCTACCCCCTTTACAGTGCATTGTCACCGTAGATGACGAATGTAACTGCCGTCGCGGTACCATGTGCTGGGATGACATCTCCCTGAACAGAAACAGCTTTGAGTGTGGTACAGTTCCGCACTGTTTCTGCGGCGGGTCAGGCTGTTCAGAAAAAGCGGTTGAGTACGATGTTGTACTAGGCTAGAGCGGTTGGCTTCTTCACCGCTTTGTACCGCTATTCACCAGCCCGAAAAGTATGAACGAACAAAGTTTGACCCGCCTAGCAGCAGTTACACTTCTTTCTCGTGTCAGATGAAACGACAATGGGCGATGTGGTGTGGACTGTGCAGTTTTTGTACAGACTCGAATGCTGCTGTAGTCCTTCGTTTTGTCGGTAAGTGTTTTGTTCACTTCAAACCAACACCCCCTCCCGATCAGGGCCTAAGTTTTCAGGGCAATTACCCTGTTTTTTCTAGGAGCCCTGATTTTCACAAGGGTGTTTTTTCTAGGAGCCTTAATTTTCACAAGGTTTTTTCTGGACCAGCCCGTAAAACTGAAGGGTGATTTTTGAGTCAGCTCGGATCTCTCCGGGGAGTTCTCAAGGGGACCCGTATAATTTTAGCAGACATGTTCTCCCCGACCTGCCTTGCATTCCTCTCGGTCTCCCTCTAAACACACGTTGGGCCAATTTTAGTGAATTTCCTAACCACTCTCTCCTTGTTGGCCTCCATGTGTCTGATTGCCCCGTTCTACGTCGACATGGCTTAGAAGGCCAATAAGGAGAGAGTGTCTGATTGCCCTGTTCTCCCTATGTACTCTTCCTCATCGTATTTTTTTCTAAGTCTACAAAAAGTATCTCGCTCACCCCTCCAGAGCCACTCCATCTCCAATCTCCCCAGCCCTCGCGCAACCCACTGTGAGTTTCCCGCGAAATTCTGGTAATGCATGTTTTCAGGCCTTTTCTGGCTCGAACCCGGATTCGTCAAGGTTTTTTTCCCGCTGGCTCGGATTTTACAGGGTCTTTTTCACAGGGGCCCGGATCGTCCGAGCTAGCAAAAATCCTAGCAATAGCCCTGCTCCCGATTGGTCTTGCCACTTGTTTGTGCGACTGTATGCATGCACTTGCACTCTCTCTCCTCTCCTGCAACTGGCTTTTCATCCAGGTTTTGTTTTGAATTCTCTTGAAATTACTGTAGGTGAACTGTAGTGCAGTATCTCCCGCACACCCTCCTCCAAGCTCCATGAACCACCACCTGCACCACGACCAGCAGCAACCAGCAAGCACACTTCTCAGCCAGTTTCTTGTTCCAGCCCCAAGACGCAGACAAGTCAGTTGTTTTTCTTCGTCGAGCACACGGTTTCCAGACTCCCATCTGCATCTGGCATTCTTTCTTTTATTACTGTTAGTTACCTCTTTGCTTCACAACACCATCCCTATCCGTCCGATTATTCGTTCTGTCGCGGTAGACGCTGCAGCGTAACCATGGCGCTCGTCAGCTCAGAAGCCCCCCACAGGAAACTCATCAGCAGCAGAGCGGATTTAACCCGCGCGTCGGGGAGCGGGAGTTTCGGCCCCAGGCTCAGCCCCGGCTCCGCAGGCCGCGCCGACAACCAAGGCGCCGATACCAGTTGCAGATGGGAGGAGATTCAATTCGACGTGTCATCTTCACCTGCAAATGCGTTTCATAGACAGAGCGCGGGATTCTACCACAGCGCACCGTTCCCTGAAGCATGCTCGAGTGCGCTCCGCACGGCCGCAGATCTTAATGACTCGACTGCACTGACCCGTGCTGAGAGCGCAGCACAAGCAGGCTCGGTGCTTCCCCGCACGGCGGATTTTAATGACTCGACTGCGCTGAGAGCGCAGCACAAGCATGCTCGCCTGCGCCTTCTCGGCACGGCGGCGGTTCCTCGTGACTCGCCTGCGCGGACCCGCGACCATCCACCCCGCCCTCTTAAATATTCCCCCCTCCCCCAAACGCTCCATCCAAGGAGATCAGGAAACCTTGCCATGACCACGTTTGCCACCCTCTCTCCTGTATTTCTGAACTGACAGTTGGGGATCAACTCTCAGCATCTGGGTCACCTCACCTCTTTAGAAATGTCGACAATATGACAGCAATAAGACCCTAGGGTCCACTATGCTCCCTGTGACTTGATTAGCTTAGGTGGCTATAGGCAGTTCTCTCTACCGGTACCGTACTGCTTGACATCAATTTACAATTTAGCATGCTTACACAGTGTACAACATAGGTGCTGTACATCGCAAGAAGCACGCCCTACACCACCCCAACTACCTCTAAAACCCCACACCCGACAAGCGACTCTAAATCAGCATGGTGAGGGGGGGGGCGGGTATCAAACGACTAACTTCCTGTCTCCCTCCTCTCAATCTTAACCGCTCTTCCCTTCCATTCCTGGGGCCACAATCATTACCCATTTGTTGATCGAGGCCCGATAAATCGTAGCTAAACAGTTCAGATCAGCCGAAAGTGGGCTCACTCCCCTTTGATCTCCGGCAAATCAATAGGCGACGGCAGCGGCGCCTGCGCCACGTCAGAAAAAACCAGCGCGGTATTCAGCGGGGACAGCATGTTAAACGGCGACTGCAGCTGACCGGGCGAGTCCCGGCCCATCGGCCACCTGGCACCCCCCGGGCCAATCAGAATGCGGGGAGAATCCCGAGGGAGCGAGGACATCCACATGGGGGTGGGGAGGGGGCCTTGCATGAGAGCAGAGGGGAGCGGGCCGGTATACCCGGGAAAAGGATTACTGGAGTTCCCGGAGGTGCCTGCAGAGACAGAGGTGCCATTAGCAGAAGAACCCATGGCCGAGGCCCATGCAGTGGGATTGGATTGTGCGTCGCGTGGCTTGATGTCAATGCTGGGCTGACTCTCCAACTCCTCCCCTCCATTCCCATCCCTACCCGAAATCCCAGCTCCATTCCCGTTTCCATCTCCGTTTCCACTCCCGTCTGAATTCCTGGTACCCTCTGCCTTTGCGCGCTCCGCCTCAGCCCCCTCCTCCCGCTTCAAGTCTGCTTCTGCATTATTACCTCCTCCTCCAGGCTTATCCGCTCCGCTCATCAGGTTTGCTGCTTGTGAACCATCTGCCTCCCCCCTTTTATCAGCCTGAAGCGCCCCAGGATCAGCCTGGTCTGCTGCTGATTTGCCACCACGGTCACCACCACCTCTCTCCCCCTCAGACTGCTTCTGCTGCTGCTGCTGCTGCTGCTCCTGTTGCTGCTTGCTTGTGGTCAGCTCATCAGAAGACACGGCAAGCCCCAGGCACGCTTCTTGCTGCTCACTCCTCTCTCTTGCCCGTGACTGCTGCGTTTGCAGTGTGGCTTGGGCACCGGATGGTAAAGCACAGACAGCAGCAGCTGCACCTGCTGCTGCGGCTGATGCGGAAGCAGATGCAGAAGCGGAGGCAGCCCCACCAGTTACAGCAGCAGCAGAACCACCACCACTACCACCATGCACCACTTGCCTTCCCGCTTCCTCAATCGACCCTCTTGTTACTCCACTCCCATTGCTTTCACCACTCCCCACTCCCTTCAAACCCTCTCCCTGTCCAAAACCCGACAGAAAGTCGCGGCCTTTGGGAGTGCTCTGCTGTTTCACCCCCACATTCTCCCCTCCAGTCGTCTCCCCTCCATTCGTCCCGCCTGCCCTGTCATTCCCCCCCTTGTCGCTCACAGGAGACGCAAATCCCTCGGAAAACTCCTCTCCCATGTCTGTGGGCTCGTGACTGTGACTCAGACTGTGACTGTGACCATGGCTGTGGCTGTGACTGCCGCTTGCTTCTACCTCCCCTGGTCCTCCCTGAATCTCCCCTCCTCCATCCTCCCCTCCTCCTAGCCTCACTTGGAGAATGTCAAAAGGAGGTTGTTTCACTGCCTGTGCTGCAATGGTGATTGCTCCTGTGGCAGCAGCAGGCGTGGCAGCGGCGGCAGCAGAAGCTGCAGAGGCAATCGCAGGAGCAGTGGGCACAGCAGCAGCACTCACAGCAGCAGCAGCTGTACCGGCAGAAGAGTGCGGAGCAGGAAGAGCCAGGGAAGGCGGTGCAGCAGGGGCGAGGAGAGACAGCGGCGAGGGAGCAGCAGCAGCACCAGCAGCAGCACCACCACCAGCAGCAGCAGCAGGAGCAGGGGCAGGGAGAGCAGCAGCAGCAGCAGCAGCAGCTACTGCCCCATCCACGGGGCCGTCGTGGATGATGGTGATGGTGACGGGGCGAGGGGGCGGCTTAATGTGGTTATGCTCGCCCACGTATTTGATTCGCCAGTTGAAGGGGTTGTCGTTGCAGCGCTCCGCCCACTTCTTGGCCGGACAGGGGTGGGAGCCCGTGGTCTTGTGCGCACAGCGGAAGTAGCTCCTGGGGGAACAGGGGCGGAGAGGGAAGCAGAGATGCGGGGAAGAGGGGAAGAGGGGAAACGGGGAAGACGGGGAGGGGGGAAGAGGGGAAAAGGGGAAGAGGGGAAGGGGAGAAGGGAGAAAGAGGGGGTGAGAGAGATGGTGTGAGAGAGAGGGAGTGAGAGAGAGGGAGTGAGAGAGATGGTGTGAGAGAGAGGGAGTGAGAGAGAGGGAGTGAGAGAGAGGGAGTGAGAGAGAGGGAGTGAGAGAGAGGGAGTGGTTATGCTCGCCAACATCTATGATGCGCCACTTGAAGGGGTTATTATTGTTGCTCCTCTCCACATCTTGGCCGGACAGGGGTATAAGGGCGGCGAAGGATGGCAGCACAGCAAGGCGGCGCATGGGAGGCAAGGCAAGCAGCAGGGCAAGGCGGCGCATGGCAAGCAGCAGGGCAAGGAGGGCATGGCAAGCAGCAGGGCAGGGCAGGTACCTGGGGTAGGTCTGGCCGAGGGTGACCTTCTGGCCGTACTTGCGCCACTCCCACCCGTCCATCGGCATCTCCGGTGCTGACGGCTTTGACGATGGCATGCGCGGCCTGGCGGGGAAAGGGAGCAGCAGGGTGGGGGGGGAACGGGCGTTCGAAGGGGGCCGTACGGACGCGTGGTTAAGAAGGGCGGTACAGGCGGGCAGGTTGCGACGAGCCACTCCCACGTGCGTGGGGTGTCAAGACGGTACATCTTGGGGATGAAAACAGGTGGAGGAGGAGCCATCCAATGGCCTTAGAACACAATCAGCGCAGACCATCTATGGCACCTATGGCGCCTATGCACCAAACACCCCTTGTGCAACGCATGTGGAGGTAGAACACAATCAGCGCAGACCATCTATGGCACCTATGGCGCCTATGCACCAAACACCCCTTGTGCAACGCGCACCTTTTATGCAACACTGCTGACTTTTGAGTCGACTCAAAAGTCAACCCGCGCACCTTTTATGCAACACAAGCTCTTTTTCTAAGCTTTGAACCCAAGCTCTTTTTCTAAGCTTTGAACACAAGCTCTTTTTTCTAAGCTTTGAACACAAGCTCTTTTTCTAAGCTTTGAACACAAGCTCTGTTTACTCCTGACAACGCGCACCTTTTATGTAACACTTACCGCTCCGTCGTCACCATCCTCCTCTGCACCACCACCACCACCACCCCCACCCCCACCGCCACCAGCACCACCGCCAACAGCAGCCGCCGCAGCACTCCGCTTTGTCCCGCCCCCACTCCCACCCCCTGTGCCTCCGCCTCCGCCTGCTTTTACCCCCTCACCATTCCCCCCTCACCCGCCCGCCCTTGCCCCCGTCCTTCCCCGAATCTTTCCCCGCGCCCACTCCCCCTCCTCCCCCGCTCCACCCCTGGAACCCCCGCCCTTCCGCGTGCGGGTGGTTACCCGCGCCCCCTTTCCGCTGAACTGGATGCTGCCCGTGCTGCCCAGGGTGCTGCGGCGGCGGATGCGCCTTCTGCGCGCCGTCGGTTGGCGGAAGCGTTTTTTGCGTCCCCCCTTCAACCCCCAGATGGGATTTCTGCGGCGCTTCAAAGCCCTGATGCTGCCCCGCGCCGCCACCCGCCGTTCCGCCACCACCCGCGGGCATCCATGCGTTCGATCCGCCACGTTCTCCCTCCTTGCCTTCCGCGGACGGCGCAGGCGCAGGGGGCGCGGGGGATCCCCTTCCCCCTGTGCTGCCCCTCCCGCCCAGGCTTCCCCCCATCGGGGGAGGATGATGCATGGTGTTATTTCCCCCCGGGCGCGGCCAAAACGCCAACCCGTGTGGAGACATCCACATCGGCGGAAGGACAGGGGGACCTGGAACCCCCGCGCTTCCCGCCCCTGCCGCAGCCGAACCCGGGGCTCCAGGCGCCGCCGAACCTCCTCCGCCGGAGCTGCTCATCCCGTCCGCGTCCGAAGGCCCGGGGGCGGATCCGAGCGGCGGAAGCGGCGGGTGCGCGGAGCCCGGGGGGCGGAAGACGCCGTGCGGGGGAAGGACTCCGGGCGGCGGCAGGGGGAACGTCCCGGGCGGAAACGGCATCATTCCGTGGTGGCTCATCGCGTGGTGATTCATGCCGTGGTGGTTACTCATCCCGGGGTGACTACTCATTCCGTGGTGATTGTTCATCCCATTCAGCTGCTGCAGCACTGATGCGACGACGTCGCTCACGCTGCGATCCGAACCAAGATTCATGTCGCCAAGCATTCGCAGATGCATCCCCAACTCCTCGGGAGTTGGTCGCCCCGACGCTCCCGCTGCCGCTGCTGCGCGAAAAGCGGCGGACGCGGCGGCTGCAGTAGCAGCGGCGCCGGGATTGGCTGGAGCGGATGCGTCGGTTCCGTTGCCCGCTGCAGCAGGAGAAGCGTTGGCGGCGGCAGCGGAAGGGGCGGCGGAACGCGCGGGAGAGGAGGGGTGAATGGCGGGCTGACCGTTGGGGTGGTCGGGGGGGAATGATGCCGCGTTGTCGCCATTGTGCTGAGAGTTGCTATCCCCGTTCTGCTGCTGCTGCTGCTGCTGCTGCTGCTGATGCTGGCTCCGATTAAGATTCTGGTGATGGTTGTTGTGATGCTGCTGCTCGTGCTGATGCGGTTGCTGGGAATATGAGTTGTCCTGTTGGTCCACGTGTTCCTCCTCAGCGGAGCGCGAGCGTGGGGGCGATGAAACGTCAGCGGGGGGAGATTCCGCGTCAGGGTTCGGGGGTCCGAGTAGAGCCTGGCAGCTTTGTAGGGCGTCCATCGCTGATTGGACCAGATCTTGAGCTTCTGCCACGTCACTGCAAAAGGGCAGGAATAACGGGAGAGAGAAATCGATGAACCCTCAGGGTTGAAAGAAACGGAAAAAAAAAAAAAAAAAAAAAAAAAAAAAAAAAAACGTGAAATATAAGGAAACGGTGAACGATAAAAAAGGGAAACGGCGGCTTTGAGTCTTCGGATATCCGTCAAAGGCGGCAGGAAGCGACTAAGCGGAACCATAGCAGACGAGCGGAAGATTGTAAGCAGACCAGTTGAAACCTTGAGCATCCTCGTCAAAGAAGAGGACGACGATGACGAAAGACGACGACGACGAAGTAACAATAGCTCGACTTGAGATACCACGATGTGTAAGAAGACATCAAGACACCGTCGAGACTCTCGAAAATCAATCTCACTCAAGACAAACCGGAAGCATGCCTCTCTGCTCACCGGCTAATGCTTGACCTGGAAAACGCTGCTTAACTTGGTTCTGACAAACTTCACAACGAGAAGGCTGGCAACTCACGGGCTAAGGCTCTCAACAAGTCCGGGTCCGCTTGTCCCGGAAATTGCTGCCTTTGAACTTATTCTGAAAAAAAAAGTTAAGTGACAAGGCTACTCACCCGCTAAGTCTCTCATCAAAGTCCGGGTCCGCATGTCCCGACGATTTCTTCGCCATCTCAACAAGTAAATACATCGTATTAGCGTGCTTCATCAGCACCTTGGTTTGCGAGTTTGCCAGCGTCGTTGCGTCTAGAAGCTTCTTACACAGCGTACTTAGCGACTCTAACTGGGTCTCCATGGTCGGAGCGTGGATCGACTCGCCGGACATTAATCTACAGTGTAGGCGACTCGGCTGATTTCCGAAATAACTCTACGGGGTAGCTCTGTGAATATACTATCTTGAGCTTCACACAATTTCACGCGATTTAGATGGCCTGGATCCAAATGCACACTCAATTCAGAGTCCTGCAATATCCGGCTCCCCACTACTCTTACAATTCTTGCTGACTGTAAAAGCTAAATCAGCTAAACGTTGCCAAAAAGGAAGGAAACGCTGGGGAAAAGGGTACGGGAAGAGACAAGACGAGGAGCAGGTGCGGGAAGAAAGGGAGAAACGCCAACGGACGCGAGACAGCAGGCCTAAGCTGAGAAACACGACAAAAAAAAAGCGGGGAAAAAAGGAGATCCGGCAATCGAGTTCCTAAAGTACTAGCCGTCTACGCGGGGCGCCATAATTCTCACAACCGGAAGCGCGCATCCAGGGTTACAGAAACCACAGCTCACAACAAAGAGGAACACCACACGTTCACACATCGATCATCCAAACACGAGAATTGGGAAAGAAAGCAGAAACAATGGCAGAGCAGGAGGGAGTCAAGACGTTCTTCTAGTGTCTCGGGATCTGCGAGCGGTCAAAGACGTTCGTGAGGGTTTGGTGGAGTTCCCTCCACCCCCTAACCACCAGGTCCAGGTCCGGTCACCGGTGACAGGTGGTGAGGTGAATGGCTCCCACCGCGTCAAGTTCCATTGCTTTCTGATGGGACAACATCATCTACATGAAAATTATGCCAGTACGATTCGCGTATGTATGCAACTGACGACCGTCAAGAAAGGCCCTGCAGAGCCGTTAACTGCCCATGGTCAGAAGAGAATAAACCCCGTCCAGATGACATACGATTGGGGAGCCTCAACCCTGAATACGGGTAACCCCGTGGTTTTTCCGCCGGACTGAGATGTTTCCTCCGATTCCGTCAATTGCATACAATCGCAAACCCGCACTCCATTAATCTGAATGCCAGTGGAGTTGACCGCTTTCTAATCGTCAGCCAAAAACGACTGACCAGTCCGAGGCTCCCCGTGCCTGCCTCCGATTTCATCTCGCCTCCCTCAACAAGCCCAGTCTTCCCCAACCAAACAAAACTCAAACCTCCCCTGATCCACCCAGACCAGATTCCACGTCAAGTGCTCACCTCCGAGCCAGGCTGCAGTTCCCAGCTGCAGTTTACCGAACCAGACTGTGAGGCTTTTGGTGTGGAGGGAAGGTGTGATGTGTGGTGTGGGTAGGTTTCAAGCGGTCAAACGACTCGATGGGCGGCTGATACTGCATTTCATCCGTCGATGTGATCGCTGTAACGGCTGAGATCATTTCCCGATATTCAACCATAAAGAGCAGTAAACTGTTCTGAAGTGTGGCATTGATAGTGGCTTGTACGGCTCAGATTAGCTGACAAAGATGCGTTGATCGGTGGCGATGTGCTTTCTGGTCAGGAGAGGTCGGTTGACCAAGGAGCTGTGCAACTCAGAAAGCCCGAAGTCCCGAAGTCCCTTCAGTTCCAAGGTAACCGAAATCGCTGGCCATTATTTATGGTTCAAACCTTCCTGTCACATACAGTAACACTTTTATGACCAGTCACCCCTTCCTTTTTTTTGGAGCCAAGCATCCAGTCCAGACCCCACAAGGGGAAGAATAATTCATAAATCAACTGCACCTTGTTCAGGAAACATCGCATGTTTTGTCTCTTCTCTTCTCGAAATCTTCCGCGTGTACCCCCACAGCTGAAGACCCAGGGTTCACAAACCTCAATTTCTGCTTCGGCGACCGTACCAAGTTCCAGTCAGCCAAGTTGCTTTTCTGGACCGCGTTGTGTATGTGGACTCCTCTTCAAGAAAAGGGTGGCCACCCGAGTTTCGATAGAATGGAATGGGAGCGTAGAAGACGTCAGCATTTGGTGGTTATGCAAGTAAGAGAAGCTTCGGGCGGTCAAGTCCTTCAACGCCACGGTGTTTGAGCTGCCAGGGGTGACAGCGTTGCAAGTAATCGTGGCCAAACCAATGCTTGATTGCCAGCACAGCGTGATCATGTAGCTAGCAGCGCAAGTCGTCGCCAGCCATGCTGTGCTGTGCCTGGGACCATGCAGCAATCCGCGTGACCCACCCCTGGTTGTTAATCCTCGTTATTAGATATGTGCCGTATTTCTTCTGGATAGAGAAGAGTGTTTGTTCATTCCCATTCGGAAATGCTAAAGCGTTCGTAACGGCTGGAACAACTTTTTGAAACACGCGCGTCCGCGAACTGAGTTTCGGTGATATCGTACCCACCAGCATGCGAATTCGTGGGGCCTCCTCTGTCGCCAATAACCTGCCCCGCCTGCGCCAATTCGAGCCCCTGCACGGTTTTGCACAGTCGGCATGTCTCTCCACCAGAGCCGAATCGCGCACCAGAGTCCAAATTCGGAATTCGCTCCATCCAAGAAGCACCCCCAAAATTCCCAGTCTCCCACGGCTCGGAACAACAGAAACAAAATTCTGCATGCGCAGAAATCAGCTCACAGTTACCATAACAATTCCCAATGCTCAGGCTAGAATGCTCTATTGCTTGACGCTCATTCCTACTAGTCCACTCACTCTGCATCCGAAAATCCTCGACCGAAATCAGCTGCATGTCCGCTGCTCCGCACACACACAAGCAGCCCGCCATCATGGCGCTCCCGTCTCAACCCAAACGCGTTCGACATCGGTACGGCCCCAACATCGGAAAGAAGCTCGACGCTTTAGGAAACCCCACGCCCACAACGGATTTCCCAGCTGAACCTTCCATCTTCTCCACTATCGCCTCCTGGTTTACTCACCGCCTGCGACCCTCCTCCCGCGGCGCTGATACTAAGCCTCGTTTCACGAATTCCAAGCCCCCAACGCCCTTTTCCAGACGTAGAGGCAGAACGGGCGCGCCGCGCGGGGACGGAAGCAGCGACGCCGTGACTCTGCACTCTGTTGGCAACAGCGCAATGCACGGCGACGAAGGCGAAGACTACGACGGGGATGAGCGAAGCGATTGCTCTTCGTGGACGATGCCTCAGCATCCTGTCGCGTCGACTCCAGGAACTGAGCGTCGCCGATCGAGCCGGCGAATGAGGAAGACGACGACGAGAGCGACAACGAGTCGCAGGGATACGCGGACCGTATCTGTGGGATATCCTGTTAAGAGTAGTAAGCTCTTCGCTTACCCTGCAGCTTCTGCCCGGGTGTACGACGAATCGCTTCTGTCGGACGACGAATCGTTCGCGATTGGCGACCGTGATGGTAACCAGCTGCCCGGCTCGCCAATGAGCACTGCTTCTTCTGACAGTGTTTTCTTTGCTGGAAATTAAGGGAACATACGGCGTTGTCCGCTCACGAGCATTTCAAATCGACAATGTACAGCTGCCGAGTCGCTAAGAAAGACAACCTTGTCTGCGAGTGATGGAACAATAGAGCATCACCTCGTGAAGACATACCCTCCGAATCTTTCCCGTGTCTGTTATAGCAATTTTTGTGTTTACACTACCACGTGTGAGAATGGACGCTTGCTGCTGGTGTGCTCTGCATTGGTTTTATTCACAGTTTTGTATTCATTGCCGCTTGTCATTTGGTCTGTCACTCAGCCCAAGAGCATTGAGTGACGCTTTAGAAAGCTTCCCATCTGTTATTATAAAAATGAGTGACCAGCTGCTAAAGATATGGTGACCAATACGCTTGGTAAATGTTGCACAATATCATATTCGGGATCTGTAAACTAATTTATAAACTCTCTTTGCTGTGCTTCTAAGGAATCCCAGCTGTATGGCGAATATGCTCTGGTACGTTGCTGACATGGCAGTCAGGTCAGCACCAAACAATTGACCAATAGCGAACCTCGCAGAAAGTCCTAAGCCACGTCAATCACCCCTGCAAAAGTTGCGCGATATGGTTTTTTGCTCGCCTCTTCGCGTAACCATGCCGCTGAGCGTGCGAACGAATGGTTAAAGTTCGCCAAACATTTCGCCAGCATTTATCCTGACAGTGTTCCCAACTTATAGCCCGAGTCCCAAATTGCGGGCCGCGCGGGTCAAGCTTTTAAAACTTGACGAACTAGTGTTTTCAAGGTTTGAAGAAAAGCGTGCCTGCAATTTGGGACTTTTGGGAACTGAACCAACCCCCAGGGCGAAATACGAGGGCGGGCTGGGTTTGGCGAATAAAACGAAAAAGCGAAATCGGAATCTTTCGCCAAAACCCTCACCACAAAAACCCCCTCGCGTCAACCTTTTAAAACTTGTGCAATTTGGGCTGCCGGCTTTATGCTTGCTGGGTACCGCACCGCCACCACACACTTTATTACCAACTGAACTATGGAACACAGTCTACCTAGAAGGCTCCTCGGATCTTTAGCTTTTGAGAGGTAAATTGTTGTGTAGATCGTGTGATGTACCGCTCTGGCTCCAAATGGGCATGAGCGGGGCGAGAAATAGTAGTGCGATACGTCGTTAATCTCGTCGGGACTAACTTGGATTGCTTGAACTAATCGACAGGCGTATTACGGCTCTACAAGATCCTCTGAATTCAGTTCGTGCAGCGGCTCCCCCTATTGTCACATCAGCCACATTCACCATGTTCGAGGAAACAGGCGATCCAAGTGTACAAGCTTCCCATGGTCACAGCCCTTCATTTCGATCCGGTATTCCTTCAGGTGTTCCTTCAGGTGTTTATTCGGGTGCTTCTTCAACCGTCCAGCATTACCCAGCTAACCAACTCATAGAAGATTTCCAGGGAGGATCAGATATTTGTTCGTATCACGTGCGTCGAACCTCGGATTCGTGCGGTCACGCGCTCGACACTCCTTCAATGGCTTTAGACTCGAGTCCGTCTTCGAATGCGGGCAATCTCTTGGTGGAAAATCCCACCGCCGCGTATAGCTCGTTTCACGCCGCCTCCTCCTCCGACCCAGAAGCTGCTTCTTCTGCCGAACCACCGAGCAGCGAAGCTTCTGTAGGAGCTTCCGCGCCGCTGCTTTCCAAGCCTAGCTGGCTCGTGAAGGTCCGAGGCGCGCTCACCCCACGCGAATGGATCACCGTCGGATGCCTCGCCGCCGCGGTCTGCGCGCTGCACGTGATTGGCTGGGGCACGCTGATCGTGTTTGTAGTACCCGGGCATTACGCCTTGGCTGGCGGGGGTGGCACGTTCGGCGTGGGTCTGGGAGTGACGGCGTACATGCTGGGCATGCGGCACGCGTTCGACGCCGACCACATCGCAGGTAGGAGAATGTATCTTTTAGGCGCCTCAAGAATAGGCACGTTCGGCGTGGGTCTGGGCGTGACGGCGTACATGCTGGGCATGCGGCACGCGTTTGACGCAAATCATATCGCAGGTGCGAGTTACATTTGCGAGTGCGAGCCTTGCATTGCGGGTAACTTTTGAGGCGCCTCAAAGGGTCTGGGAATGACGGCGTACATGCTGGGGATGCGCCATCATGCATTTGACGCAGACCACATTGCAGGTATGTACGATGGACATTGCTGGTACTTGAGTATATTATTGAGGCGCCTCGAGAATAAGCACGTTCGGGGTGGGTCTGGGAGTGACGGCGTACATGCTGGGGATGCGTTTGAATTGACGCGGATCACATTGCCGGTACCAGCGATATTGCAGGTGCGAATAACAGTGCAGGTGCGAGGAGGAAGAACGCTGACAGTGCCCTCTGGCTTTGCCTCACTCCCCCTCCCCCACCTCCTTCTCCCCCATCCCCCCACCCCCCCCCCCCCCCCCCCCCCCCCCCCCCCCCCCCCCCCCCCCCCCCCCCCCCCCGTCCCCTGCATCGTCCAATCAGCAATTGACAACACGACGCGCAAGTTCCTGGCGGAGGGGAGGAGGACGCTCACAGTGGGATTCTGGTTCGCGCTCGGCCACTCCTCCGTGGTCTTTCTCGCCGCGCTCATTATTGCCGTGGGCTTTAAGGCCTTCGCGGGACAGGTGAATGAATGTGTGTGCTTCTAGAACGCTCACAGTGGGGTTCTGGTTCGCCCTCGGCCACTCCTCCGTTGTTTTCCTTGCCGCCCTCATCATTGCAGTGGGCTTTAAGGCCTTTGCCGGACAGGTATACAACAGAATTTCAGTCCAGCAATATGGATTCCCGTGTTTATGAGTCTGATTTGATTCAGTCTTCTTTTAGCTTATGTATGTATATGAACATTTGTACAATGCGCAAGCATATGGATAATGTACTCATGTGCATCACATCTACACCCACCTCAGGTGGAATCAGAGGAGTCACAGCTGCATGTGATTCTCGGCCTTGTGGGTGCGCTCGTCTCCAGCCTCTTCCTGCTGCTTATAGGCGCCATCAACCTCCTCGTTTTAATCCACCTCGTTAAGGTGCGTGTTTAGTTTAATAGCTCGCCATATCTTAATTTTTAACCCTCAACTTGGAGCTTTTAACACTTCCCCACTTGGAGCTCTTCCACACTTCCCCACCCCACTCCACCGCTCTCCACTCCTCCAGATGTTCCGTGCAATGCGCGAGGGCACAGCCAGAGAAATAGACCTGGAGGACCTGACACTACAGGGAGGGATGTTCGGCCGCTGTGTGGGCCGCATGGCAGCACTGATAAAGCACCCGCCCCAGATGTACCTGCTGGGGTTCCTGCACCATCACTCCTTTTCTTCCCTCTCCATCCCTCCCCACCCCACTCCTCCCCACCCCTCTCCACCACTCTCACCCGCACTCCACGCCTTCAGGTCTTCCGTGCAACACGGAACGGCACGGCTAGGGAGGCAGACTTGGAGGACCTGACACTACAGGGAGGGATGTTCGGCCGCTGTGTGGGCCGCATAGCAGCACTCATAAAGCACCCACCCCAGATGTACCTGCTGGGGTTCCTCTTTGGGCTCGGCTTTGACACCGCCACGGAGGTGGCTCTGCTCTTCATGGCTGCTGGCGCTGCCTCCTCTGGCCTGCCCTGGTTCGCCATACTCTGCCTTCCTGTGATATTCGCCGCCGGTAAGGCCTGCCCTGCCCTGCCCTGCCCTGCCCTGCCCGGCCCTGCCTTGTCTGTATCCCGCGGCCCTGCCTGTACACCTCTGGTCGGAGCCTGTCTTGACAGAGGAGCTGCTGTCCAGGCCCAGTAGCCTGCCCTGCTGGGGTTCCTCTTTGACGGCGCCACGGGGGTGGCTGTGCCCGTGTACCTCTGGTCGGAGCCTGCCTGCCTTGAGTAAGGAGCCGCTGTCTAGCCCAGTAACATCCCTCTTTGGGCTTGGCTTTGACACCGCCACGGAGGTGGCTCTGCTCTTCATGCATGGAAAGGTGCATCACCACTTCCCACCTCCTTCCACGCATTACCTCTCCCCCTCACAGGCATGACTCTACTAGACACCATAGATGGATCGTTCATGAACTTCGCCTACAGCTGGTTCTCCTTTCAGCTTTAGGTTCACAACCGTGCAATTACCTCTCTCCACCACTCCCCACCCCTCTCCTTTCCCCATTTCCTCCAGGGATGACCCTACTAGACACCATAGATGGCTCATTCATGAACTTCGCCTACAGCTGGGCCTTCTCCTTCCCGCTGAGAAAGCTCTTCTTCAATATCGTCATCACGGGCTTATCCGTTATGGTGGCGCTGCTTATAGGGGGAATAGAGCTTCTTCAGGTAAGCTTGAGCCATGATTCGAACACACCAGCAAGGGGACTCAGTGGAGGACATGCTAATAAAGGGGATAGACGATCCCCTTCTGAGGTGGTATCTGAGGCACCTCAAGAGAAGAGCGTCCTTTGTGTAGAGTGAGACGGGTTTCTGATGCGCCTCAAAATCTGCGAGACATGAGACGACTTTTGAGGCACCTCAAGAGAAGAGCGTCCTTTGTGTAGAGTGAGACGGGTTTCCACGTGTAATGAGGTTATTTTTGAGACGTCTCAAAAATAACCTCATTACCCGAGGCACCTCAAGAGAAGAGCATCCTCACACCTCAAGACAAGAGCGTCCTTTGTGTAGAGTGAGACGGGTTTCCACGTGTAATGAGGTTATTTTTGAGACGTCTCGAAAATAACCTCATTACCCGAGGCACCTCAAGAGAAGAGCATCCTCACACCTCAAGAGAAGAGCGTCCTTTGTGTAGAGTGAGACGGGTTTCCACGTGTAATGAGGTTATTTTTGAGACGTCTCGAAAATAACCTCATTACACGAGGCACCTCAAGAGAAGAGCATCCTCACACCTCAAGAGAAGAGCGTCCTTTGTGTAGAGTGAGACGGGTTTCCACGTGTAATGAGGTTATTTTTGAGACGTCTCGAAAATAACCTCATTACCCGAGGCACCTCAAGAGAAGAGCATCCTCACACCTCAAGAGAAGAGCGTCCTTTGTGTAGAGTGAGACGGGTTTCCACGTGTAATGAGGTTATTTTTTAGACGTCTCGAAAATAAGCTCATTACACGAGGCACCTCAAGAGAAGAGCATCCTCACACCTCAAGAGAAGAGCATCCTTTGTGTAGAGTGAGACAGGTTTCAAGGTGCCAACTCGTCTCACTTTATCGAATGGCAATGCTTAGATGGGGGATAAACTTCTCTCACACCACTTGCATGCTCATTGGGGGGACGGGAGGGGCATTTTTCGTATGTACCCCCTCTCATCCCCCTCCTCTCATCCCATTCTTATCGTCTCATCCCATTCGTTCCCCCCTTACGTCTCCTACGCTATATGCCATTCCCATTTGCCTTGTTCCATTCATCCATGAGCAGTTGGTGATTGAGAAGGCAGGATGGGAGGGGCAGCCATGGGACTCAATAGCGGGGATGGATCTCAACATTCTAGGATTCGTCATAGTGGGCCTCTTTTTCCTTACGTGGATGGTTGCTCTTGCCGTCTGGCATTTTATGCAATATGAGACATCGCCACCTGACATGTAGTACTGTTTCTCTATAGCTCAATGTTTCACCTTTGCCTATCAAGGCTAATGAAACTACAGGCAGGAATTTTGCCAAAAGTTGAACGTCTTTCGTTGCTCCAGCAAGAAACATGGCATAACGGCATACCAGATAAGAGAACACTACGTTTATCTTGGTACACTAAATGGATGGATGTACAGAAGGTCTGTAAAAGGGACCCCTACGTGTGTGGCCAGTGCTTGATGGCTGTACCGTACGTCCACAAAAACAAATTGTACAGTAGGCCAATTTCATCACGCAAACCACTGTAGATCGTTTTGATGAATAGGTCTCATGTGCTTCGCATCCCATCCCATCCTGTTGCGATCAAGTCCACGCGGCTTTAGCCGAGAAATCATCTGGCCGGCCAGGGAAGGCGAGGAGGGGCAGGAGGAGGAACATGGGGGGGAGAAGAAAGGAGAGAAGGACAGAGAGGGCGAAAGAGGACAGGAGTGGGAGATGGGTATGCGAGGGATGGAGAGGGGTGGTTTCCATGTAGTCCTCACTCAATACTCAACCCTTGTACTACCAGCAACAACTTGGCGAGCACTCCCTCACCCACGGAAGGAGTATCCGAGTTCATCAGCAATACTTGAACAGTCCGCACGCTTTGCAGGCGCCTCGCCCACAGCAGCAGCCGCTACACGTCCTTGCAACCCCATGTAGTCCTCACTCAATACTCAACCCTTGTACTACCAGCAACAACTTGGCGCGCACTCCCTCACCCACGGAAGGAGTGTCCGAGTCTATGAGTAGGACTTGAGCCGTTCTCACGCTTTGACGCCACCATGCCCACAGCAGCAGTCACCATGAGTCGTTGCGACCCCATGTAGCACTACACGAACCCAGGGCACTCACTGACCCACAGGAGTGTCCGAGTTCATGAGCAGCACTTGTGCAGTTCTCATGCTCTGCGGCTGCCATGCCCACAGCAGCAACCTGGGGAGCACGGACCCACCCACTCACTCACTCACCCACAGCAGGAGTCTCCGAGTTCGTGAGCAGCACTTGTGCTGCCACGCCCACAAGTCCTCACTCAATACTCAACCCTTGTACTACCAGCAACAACCCGGGGAGAAGCAGGCTCAATGACTCACTCACCCACAGCAGGAATATCCGCGTTCATGAGCAGCACTTGAGCCGTTCTCACACTCAGCGGCCGCCACGCCCACAGCAGCAGCCGCCATGCGTCTGGCACGGCCCCCACCCGCCACGTAACTCAACTCAGCCCCAGAAGCACTGACACCCCCAGGAGCACCACACTCACACTTTCATTCAATCACGATCACCCACCCACTCACTCACCCACGGCAGGAGTATCGGCGTTCATGAGCAGCACTTGTGCCGTCCGCACGCTTTGCGGCCGCCACGCCCACAGCAGCAGCCGCCACGCGTCCGGCACGGCCCCGACCCGCCACCCCGTCTCGCACCCGTCCGAAATGCTCGGCACACACCGCACCACGCGTAACCGCGTAACCACGTGCCGTAACCGCGGCGACAGCCAGTGCATGCGTGTGGTGTTGATCCAGGCGAAGGGGGAGGAGGGGAGGGAGCGGCGGAGGGAGCGGCGGAAGCGGTCAAACATGTGGAGAGCCGTGTGGTCTGGTTCGGTGTGCCGAACGTACATCCAGGCTCGGAAGTACCGGGCCGAACGGACGCAGGGTCGGGAGGGAGGTTCGGCGGAGGAGGAGGATGAGGATGAGGAGGAGGGAGGGAAGGGCGTTAGTAACGTGCCTTGTGATTGGTTTGCGTTGGGGGCGTTTTTTATGCCAGGAGAAGTCGAGGAGGCGGAGGAGGAGGAGGAAGTGGAGGAGGAGGAAGAGGAGGAGAGGTTAGAAGCCGAAGCAGAAGACAGCAACGGTGGAAAGAAGCATTTCTCTTCCACAACCACAGACAACCCATCAAACAGACTCGACTCCAATACCGTCTTCCCCGCCCCTCCTGTCCGCTTGCTCCTGTCCCCGCCCCCTCTCACCCCTGCCCCCTCCTCCACCCCTCCCTCACTCCCCCCCATCCACCACCCGTTATCCTCCTCCCCTTGTCCCCCACCACCCCCCAAACCCTCCCCACCTGCACCAGAAAACACCTGCATTTCCAATTCCACAAGTAGGAACGGGTGGTATAGCCTCATTAAAAAGGGTAATTCCGGGGCACGCCTTCCTGGATGCTTCTCGCCGTGTTTCACCACTCCGTGCCGAATCATGAACAGTTGCCCGTCTCGTAGCGACGCCGCCCGCCACAGGTCCTCCACCCGATTCACCCGCAGGCTCGGGTACTCCTCGGCTCGGCCGAACCAGAGCTCCGGCTCTCCCCGAACCTCAGCCTCGGTAGCACTAGAACTAGTACCATTCCTACTCCCAGAGGGAACAACTCCCTTCCCACCAGCACCAGCAGCAGCAGCACCACCAGCACCAGCGGCAGCAGCGGTGGCGGCAGCGGCAGCTTTGGCATTTTCTGCCAATGCATCTGGTAATGTTGCTAGTCGGTCCACAAACGGAATAAACCGGGCGGCAACAGCCATCCAGGGAATCGGGATCTGGCACAGCGTCCTGTCCCTGACGTGGCAGGCGGCGGGTGGCGCGGGCGGCAGTGGGTGCCAGGCTGGCAAATTACGCATCTGGAAGCGGTTGAAACCGACCAACGAGAAGAAGGCGAGGACGAGCTGAGCCTGCTCTGATTGGCTCTTGGGAATGAGAAAACGGGCGATAGGGGTGGCGCTGCTGCTACTACTACCGCTACTGCTGCTGCTGCTGCTGCTGCTGTCAACGCTAGCACCCCTTCCACCTGCCTCTACTCCCCCTCTCCCTGCCTTACCCTCCCCACCACCACCACTACCACCACCACCACTCCCACTATCTGCATCCTTATCCTCCCACCCTTCACCATCCCCCTCCTGGCCCTCTGTCGTCCACACATGGCCCCTTAGAGTCGCGTCCACGAACCCTCTACACTGCTGCCCCGTTATAATCCCCCACTTGTGCCGCAGAAACACCTGATTGGCCGAGCACACGTCGGCGCCGCTCTGCCGCGCAAAGTAAATCAAATCTTGTGCCCCCACACAAGAAGACGGGTGGTGATACACGACTATAGACTGCGGCACTAAGTAAGACTTGTAGTTAAAATACCGAGTCGTAAGCGCTAGGTCTAGATCCTGCCGGGTGTACCCGACCCTCGGGTCGAACAGAACAGCTTCGGAAAGAAACGACTGCCGAACCAGCATGCAGTGGTCCTCCACGCCTACCGGAGATTCCTGAGGGTTCAGCAGGCTCGGATCCCTGGTGCCTGCCACGTGGACGTCTTCTATTGGCTGTGGGTAGAGCTTCCCGTCGTTACTGTAATCATCAAATAGCATGTCAGAGGCAAAGGCTGCATGGGCTTTAAGGCCCTCTTGCTTTGCCACTGACCCGCTGCCCATGCTGCCCCCTGAACCACCAGCACCACTACTAGAAGCACCAGCAGCAGAAGCAGCGCCAGCACCAGTGGCCGCACCTGCAGCAGCACCGGCACCGAGCCTACCACCCAGGTTCGTCGCACCACCATACGTCACCGCCCCTCTCCCCCTCCCCCCCGCCCCTCCCCCTACGCCCGCCCCTCTGCTGAGCCCCCCTGCCCTGAGCTTCGCCCCTCCTCCCCCCGCATCCCCGCCCCACTCCCAAATGAACGGCAGGAAGATCACACCTTCAGGATGCTTCTCAGCGAATCTGAACAGGTGCTGCAGCCAGTTGGGACGATAGGGAAACACATCAGAGAACACAAAGAGCGCGTACTTAGTGTGGATTAACTCTGACGATGCGTTGCGCATTAAGTATCCACTTGCGTATTCGTCCTCCATTTCCTTGACGAGTATTCTCCGCCCTCCCGGAACTTCCTCCCCCTTCCCCCGCCCCTTCCCCCTCCCCTTCCGCCTCCGCCTAAACCCCCCGCCACCATCCCCCCCATACAGGTCCGGATCCTGAAACCCTATTCCGCCGCCCGCTGCTCCCCCCGCGCCTCCGCCTGCCCCTCCTCCGCCGCCCCAGCCCCCCCACAACCCCCGCGAGCCCTCCGCTTGTCTGCGCCTGACGTGCGCGCGCGTGCGCGCGTCCATTGCGCCGGGGATCATGTAGATCACGGGGCAGGGGGGAGTGGTCGCGAGAATCGCGTCTAGCTGCGCGGCTGCTGTTCCGAACGTGTGTTTTGCGCTGATAACTATAGTCACATCGCGAGCCAGCCGCTCGTTTAGAGCACGGTCCACGTCAGCATTGCCGTGTAAGCCCTGGTTCCCGGAGCCAATCAGAGATGCGGGCAAGGTTCTCGCGCTGCCGGCTCCTGATTGGTCCAGTTTTCCGCCATTCCCCCCCGGTATCTCCCCTTCTCCCCCATCATACCCTAACCGCATCAGCCTCCGCCGCTCCGCCAGGCTCTCCCCCCCGCTGCTGCTCCCCGAACTCCCCGCTCCGCCTCCGCCTTTCCCGCCACCGATCAGGCTTCCCCTGATCCCCTGATCGGGGGAAGACCACAGCAGCTGTTGCGCGGATTCCCCCAGATCCCGCCAGCGTGATTTGCGCATTGCCGCGACGAGCAGATCGTCGATCGCCGCCGCGGCTCGACTCGAATCCCCCCAAAACGCCTTCCCCGCGGTTCCCCCCGCCAATCCCCCCCCGGATTCCCCCGTGCTGCCACTGCTTCCGCGGCTGCTGCCGAACCGGATGGAAAATTCTCCTGCTGCCGAACCAAATCCTGAACCTCCCTCTCCGTTCCCCGTCGCGCCGCCATCTAATCGTATGTCGAGCACGGAGTACAAGAACACACACGCGACGCCGACCGCGAGGAACAGAAGAAGGCGGCTCGAGGAAAGCGCGGAGGAGAGCATCAGGCCGAGCCGGGGAAGGTACCGTCTTGGGCGGGTCTTACTTGGGCTGTGGAGCGGATGGTCCACGTGGGGGGACTGGCGGCGGTGATGCTGATGGTAATGGAGCTTGACGCTCGGCCGGCCGTCCATC